GATGGATGGATGGATGGATGGATGGATTGAGGATAGGTCAGAGTTAGATATGCAACACAAATAATTCAGATTTTGGATGAAGTCTGAGAACCGAGGCCGTGATCACATTTTCCACAAATTCATCTTCTTACCAATTAACTTATCACTGTCACTGTAAAGTCACAGTTGTTACGCAATCTCAATCTTGAGGCCAAAATCTCCTGAAGGTCCCTAAAACCTGGTTCAAAACTCGAGGGGACCTGTCCTTTCAAGCAAGAGCCCCTAGATTGTGGCTCACCCTGTGTCTGTGTGTTGAATTATTTTAGAAGCAGCTTCAGACACTGTTGTTCAGACAAGTTTACTTTAGCTAATTTTATCGTACATTTTGCTTTAATGTACGTTTGTATTAATTTTTCTCCTTGTGATGTCTGTCTGTGAAAGGTTCWATATAAATAAAATTTACTTACAACTAATGATAATTGTTTGGTCTCAAAGAAAGCTTGTATCTTGAGCAGTCAGCAGGATGTGCTTCTGTGTTCTTTGCTTTTAAAAAGCAAGCTCTCATCTCTGATATGGGAAAAGTCCCAATCTAATCAGTGCATGGTGGACTCAGGCACCTGACCAGGCAGCTGGAGCTTTGAGACATTTCCCACACCTTACATAAAGATTAGAGAGTGGAGCGCTTTGGTTTAACAACTAAACACAAGCACAGGAGCCAAAATAATCACAGGTCCTTAGTTTATATTTGCAWTAAAATGTTAGTTTATTTACAAAAAGCTCATAATGAAAGAAAAAAGAAGGGCTTATTAAGGCACAAACATGAATGAGCCTGGATCACCTGCTTGATGAACAGGAAAATAAATGACAGTTAGTGTTYACCCAAAGCCTCTAAGTTGAACGTGACTTTTGAGGAAACAAAGAAAATTCTAGTAGTTATTATTTTTCAACATCAGTGTTACAGAGAAAASACTTGAAGGTTTCAAGTGTTCTTAGACAAGAAGTCACCAGCAACTAGAAATTCAGTGCACAGGTCTCCACATGTGCACTGAAGTACAAGTCAGTACAATTGGTAAGATAAATTAAAAAAAATAAGAAAAAAATTCTGTGTCTATTTAGTTTTTGCAGCTGTGTGAGGTCACATCTCCTGCTTTCGTCGAGCCACGGCTGCGATGAGGGCGGCGCCTTTCCCACTGCCTTCCTCTGATGGCAGGAAGGTCACGTCACACTGAGGAGCCAGATCTTTCACCGTCTTTTTCAGGACGTGAGAAAAACTGAAAGCAGAAGAATTTAAAATGAATTTAATTGGTCTGGTGGCTCAGAGTAAACTGTACGACTGATGTGGTYCATAACGAACTCACTGTGGGTGAAGTTTGTAGAGAGCCCCGTCTACACCCACAGTGATGCTCAGATGGTCCAGGTTTTGGTTCTCTTTGATCTTATCGACAACAGCTGCCAGCCCGGCTCCACACAGCTGAGCAGCACGACGTGACACCGCCCCACAAACCTACACAGGAAGGAACAACTTTATCATTTTTGCAGCTGAAGCACATAATAGTCCACTCCACAAAGTTGCAAAACCTCATTTCTCAACCTTAAAGTCAGATTTCATCATGACTTACACCAAGGAAAAGAAATTCAACTTTTAACCTCATTTTGCTATTTGAGTTGATTTAAAGAGATCTGTTTAAATAATAGATTTTTTTATGGAATGATATACCTAAATTAAAATAAACATATTTGATTATCTTTATCCAATGGTCTTGAATCGAATATTCAAATAACAGAAGACAGCATGACTGGTTATTACTCTTTTGGTTGCAYTTATGATTATTTGTACAGTTTGAAATGCAATAACTAATTTAAAGAACAAATTTTAGTAAAAAAAAAAAAAACTTGCATTCAGTGATGAAAAACACATTTCTYACCAACTCGAATATCAAAGTTTTAAACAAAAAAACTTTTGTGTCATCTGATGGTACTGCTTGGGATGACTTTCAGCGACTACCGCACCAAATTTTAGGCCAATATCTGTTTGTTTATTTTGGTGGTGGCCATTTTCAATCAGCTAGACTCTAAAAGTTACTTAGCTGTAAGCATACATTCAATAATTACCTCTTAGAAGATTCATTAAAATCCGTCCAATGATTCATGAGATATTTTGATAACAGATGGACAAACAAACTTTTATATTATCATCTGTCTTTCATGATAGATGATAATGATCAAAGAAKTGAAATATGTGATATAGTTTAAAAAAAGGTTTGAAAATATAAACTTAACGCAAAACGTAAGGAAATTTATTACTTTGTAGTTTATTTCTTGATTGTAACAATGCTTCTTGGCAATAAATCTTATAGTGTTGGAAAGCCTGTAAAATTCTCTTTTAAATGAAGCCACATTTGTAAAGAACAAGCATTTGTGGAATGAGTAGTAGAGCTGAGTATGTGAGTTCTGCACCTGAAAGATTTGCCAAATCTTCTGTGTCAGACAGCTTATTTTGCTGTTAWTGACTCTTGCTTTGAGCTAATGGTACCCCCAGGTGCTGCCAATCAGGTGCCCGCTATAAGATTTATTGCTAAGAAGTATTGTTACAACAACAACAAAAATAATCTACCAAGCACAAATTTACTTACATTTAGTGTTAAGTTTATGTATTTAGTTTAAAATACACAGCAGGAGTGTAAAAGTCTATGCTCTGAAACAACTGATGCTCTACAAACATGAAGTAAAGCTCATTAGCATCACATTTCTGCCTCCCACCGTTTTGACGATGATGCTGTCGTGACAGGTGCTGTGGAGGCCGAGCTGCTGCAGAATGGATCTGACCTGCAGCAGAGCCAAGCGATCGCTGCAGGGACAAAAACAACGCCAATCATTATCACTTAAAAATACCAGCTGGAGTTTGAAGTGACAGTTTAAAATACTGAACTGGTTGATAAAGGTGAAAGCAAAGGTTCCTCTACCTTTCTATTTGTGACAGATATTTGGTTTCAAAGATTCCAGGTGTTTTTAAGGTTTCAGTCACGTGTCCTTTAAACAGCAGACCCCTTCTGGTTAGATCCAATAACACCTGCCGCACAATTTCACCCAAATACATCCCACTGGTCAGCTTCTCAAACCTATACACTCAAAACACACACACACACACACACACGCAAAATCGCTTTCAAATGAGAAGCATGTTCACACAGATCCAACATGAAACTTTGTGTCTTTTTCAGACTAATAATACAAACACAAGCAAAATTTCTGACCTTTGTTTTCCTTGGTTGATGGAGTTTTTGTCCACCTCAATGTCATAAGTTGTGGCGATGTCATCTAGACAGCCGTCATCACCCAAACCACCCCACTCTGTGTTTATACACATTTTTGACATCTCAGAATTCCCTTCCACTTTCTTTTTGTTCACGCCAGCATTCTGCTGAGAGAGAAAACAAACAGGGAATTTAAATGTAATTTATGACCAGCGTCATCACATTTACTCACTGATCCTCTAAAGCTTGTGTGAGTGTGTTCTTTTACCTTTTTCTCATCTGCTTCATGTGTCTCTTTGTCTTTTTTCGTCGGGACGCTTCTTAGTTCAATTTTCTCGATGTTCTTCAGTTCCTCCATGTAGCAAAGATTTGTGCCTGTTCCTGTAATGAAGTTGGAAACATCATCACTTTCACTTTGAATTATTATGTGTCAAACTTGACAAACACATATTTCATTAAATACAAGTATTTTAAACAATGTGTTGAATCTGTTCCTTTAAATCTTTGCAGACAGAAAACATAACAAATTTACATTCCTCGAGGAAGGCTTCTGTCCCTCTACTTAGCATGCCCAAGTTTAATTAAAGATCTTGTTTGATCTGKTGCACTTTAAGTATGGGGCAGGCTTTTGTCTCAGCTAAAATCAAACTAAATTCAAGCTAAATGTCAGTAAAATTTACTGAAGTGTAGTTATTTTTGTGTTTGATGAGGTCAGTTTTCTGCTGTGGTCATTTTAAATTAGACTTGAATTTTAGATGTACAGTATATCCACTTCCATTAAAATCCCTTAAATTAGTAGATATTTTGCTAACAGACTAACAAATGAACAAGCATACACACAAACAATTTAAAGTGCCTGTGACATGATTTTTTTACATAAATATAAAGGCATTATTGAAAAGATAACATTATTGGCATRTTGCAAAAATAATTTCCCATCCTGCTGCTGAGATGAACAGTTGTTGAGATATTTGCATGTGAAGAAACAGGAAGTGATGTCAAARGGGAATGTCTGAATGGAACAAAGCATTRATAAATTAGGTAACAGCACAGACTGTAGAGAATAATCTGATGTTTCTTTAGATTATTTTGAGTCACCATCAGGAGAGATTAAGAGCCAGAGTTCAAACAATATTGTTACAATAAACAAAGATTACAGAGTTCTCTTAGAGTTCCCCTTTGATGTCACTTCCTGTGGAACTTTGGCTGAGCCAAGTTCAAAAGAAAATATGCCATTTATGTGACAAAATGGGTAAAATCACATGTTTTATGCAAGGTTTCTTATACAAAAATGTGTTTTCTTTGACTTTTTGTATTTGATAGATAGGCATGTCACAGCACTTTAACAGTTGTCTGTCTTTCATGACAGTGGGTATAAATGTGACATAAAAAACACAACCTCACAGACTGATCAAATTACTTTTGCTCTGCAGAAACACCTGAGCTATTATTATATCATCATCACCATCATCCCTTCCCATTTCATGCTACACACCTGCAATCATTCCRATTTCACACCGAGGGTCTTCATAGGCGCAGCTCATCATGGTCCCTACTGCGTCGTTGATTAATGCYACAATGTCCAAGTCAAACTCCTGTAGGTGAACACAAAAACACATCCAAACATTATTTCTGTGTATTGTTGTTCAGTCAGTGGAGGGCTGCAGAATGTGTTCTTGCACACACAGAATCCATGCYTCGAATGTTTGGACTCACGTTGCGTCTCTTGATGGCCTCTCGAAGCAGATCGACAACATCATGTCCTTCACAATTTGTCGCCTTGAAGCCTTTGGTCCAGGTCACCAGTGTGCCCTGTCAGTATGAAATCATTGCTTCCTCCAATTTAAATAATCATTCTGAGCTGCAGCCATTACRAGAAGAGATTCATGGAGTAAAAATCTGATGCTTACCGTATCAATGGCGGACTGCTCACAGGGGAAGGAGAAGGTGAAACCTGCAGGAAGACGAGATTTCTTCAGTCCCATGTAGTCCAGGAAGTCACAAACACACTGTGCCAGGTGGTCAAACAACTACAGGTGACCAAAGAAAAACAAAAGGCTTACAAATGTAAATCAAACTTRTTACTGTTTTACTACAAAATCTGTTTAGACAATCTATGCATTGTTTCATTCAAAAGCCCAAGGTCTGGTCGAAACTCAGTTTCATATAGTGTGTTACAGCCCAARGCCTTTCCTCTGGGTCTTTCTCTAAAACTGTGTGTTTCAGAGTTCCTGATTGGTGCTGATTGCAACTGGAGGCAGCTGGCCAGTGTCAAGAAGAGCTTGAGATCCAGTTGAAGATTTGCTGCTGGCTCTCAATGCGAGGCTTCTCCTTTTTTTGTTGCTCTTTTTTCCCCAGCCAACCATGTTTTATTAAATAAATTTAATTTTAAGTTTTCCCATGCGTTGCTTCCCTTTATTTGTTATGGCCCCAGAGCCAGGCCATAACAAATTGGGGGCTCGTCCGGGATTTGAACCCGGGACCTCTCGGCCGTAACATGGTGTAAAAATATTCCATTTGGATTGTTGTTTAAGATGAAGATTATCTTACCTCCTCTCCAGTTCCCTGCATAATCTCCAGTGGGATGGTGTAAATTTTGTGGTAAAGTCGGCATCTCTGTTTTTTAAATCTCACAAGCAAAGCTCTGAAGTTGGTTCCTCCCAGATCGAAGGCAAGGTATTTCCCACGTTCTGGCAAAAGCAAAAATATTTCAATTGTATTTTTTTAGTATTAATATTATAAATTACTTTAGGTTAAGAGTGGTTCTATGTGGAAAGAAGACAAACAAAACTGCCAGTGTATTTGTTATTAGAGGTGTCCGAATAAAGGCAGTTTCAGTTCCATACCTGTGCCATCAGGTGTGAGGTACACAAAAGAGGGCAACATTTTTATTGTGGAGGTACTTTCACTCTTCAGTCCTGCGTCCAGCCTTTCTCTCATTCTGGTTTTCACCAGTTGGAGCTGCTCTTGGTTTATCCTGAAGAGGGACAGCGTCTCTACTAACTGGAATACCAAAGAAACGGGGATTCAGACGTCCACGATGACAAGAAAAATATTCTGTCCATCACAAAGCACACAGAACATCATGAATGTAACCTTTCGTCTCAGTGATGTCAGGCGCTGGGCGACTGCTGCCACAAGGGCAGCACCTTTGCTGCTGCCGCTGTCCGAGAGGACGAATCGAACCTGGCACTCGGGAAGCAACCGCCTCACTACTTTATGAAGACGTTTAGGATACCTGAAAAAAATGTGGCAGTGCAGTAATGGCTTTTCATAGAAGTTCCACCTTAAAGTACCTGTGACATGCATATCCATGAAATAGAAAAAGTCAAAGAAAATATATTTATATTTAAGAAACTTAGCATAATACACCTGATCTGTTATGTCACATAATTGGCATGTTTTCTTTTGAATTTTGCTCAACTAAAGTGAAACAGGAAGTGACATGAAAGGGGAACTCTTTGAGAAAGAAAACTCCCTGGTTTTTGTTTATTTAAACAAATATTATTTGCACTCTAACTCTTTCTCATCTCTCTATGATAGCGATTGAAATAATCTAAAGAAACATCAGATTGTTCTCTTCTGTCTGTGTTGTTAGCCATTTTAGCAATGCTCTGTTTACATGCTGACATTCCCCTTTGACATCACTTCCTGTTACTTCACATGCTAATATCWCAACAACTGTTCATCTCAGCGGCGTGAAATCTTTTTTACTATATGCTATCAATGTTATATTTCGAAAAATACATTCATATTTATTAGGAAAAAAATGACATCACAGGCACTTTAATGTAGAGAAACTTTCAAGGACACTCTTGATTCTGTGGACTTTGTKTTTAGATCTCAGTGAAACAAGACCACGGGATGATGTATTTCTGACTGAGCTTCGGTCTGTGGGGTTCAGTTTAGGATGCCACCTCCACACAGATCCCGGAAGTGGAGTCCGAGTTGGGAGGAATGGGAGCTGGCTTTGTCTTTTCTGGCATCATAAACTGGTTCTGCTGAGTGATGCAAACTAGAAACAGTTGGAACAAAAGTCCTGCAGAGGGKCTGGAGTCTTTCACACCATGACCCATGCCATGTTCAAGACCTCCATCATATAGGTGGCTTCCAGGAGCTGTGGCCTGAAGATGGTCCGTGCTAAGCAAGTAAGCAATCAAGCTTTAGAAAGATTTCAGTTTGGGTCTGCTGCTGTGGCTGACAGCACCAGCCACCAAAAAGCATGTGGTTACAAAAACCCAGATATTAGAGGAATTCAGGAAAGCTAATGAGAAGAATTTATGAACAGTTTCAAGGAAGTTTAGATCACTAACCTCACAACTTGGAAAAGAAAAGTAGGGCTTCTCTTAGACTGTTACTGTTGCTACTGGTAAAGTTGCTTTGAGATGGTATAAATTCCCTTAAAATCCCTCTCAGTCTTTAGATTACTAATCTGACATAAATTCTATTTCTTAAAATGAAACCATCTATAACAGCTGAAATAATTATAGTCCACAACCTTTTATGTGATAACTTACTGTGGGTGTGTCTTGTACACGGTTCCATCCACACCAACAGTGATTCTCAGGCCTCCCAGATTTCGGTTTTGCTTGATTCGTGTTAAGATGGCTGCCAGTCCTGCAGCCACCAGATTTGAGGACCTGAACGATACTATGGTGCTGACGTGTTGAACAGCGATGCAATCATCAGCTGACGGGCTCAGGTCAAGCTGAATCAGAATGTTTCTGGTGTTTTTCAGACCATCCCTGTACCTAAGGAAGAACTTCACTGGTTATGATAATCAGACAGAGGCAGTGAAACTGAAGTAACTTTTCTTGACTCACTCTTCCATTGCTGCTACATCTGCGGTGGTTATTTTTCCTGTGGTTCTCAGAGCGTCTGACACACGTCCGTCAAACAGCAGTCCCTGTTTGGCCATCTTCAGTACAACCAGCCTCACCAACTCACCCAGATACATGCCACTGATCATTTTCTCGAATCTGCAGTTAAATAAAAAGGGTGGAAAACAGAAACCCAGTCAGGCTGAGATGTGTCTGACATTCTGTGCAGCATCCTGTGAGAAAACACAAAGCAGTTTCCACCGACATTTGTTTCCCCGGGTTGCTGGAGGCCGCATCAACTTCTCGGTCAAACTCGGTCACGAAATCATTCAGGGCCCCGTCGTCTCCAAACGCCCCCCACTCRGTGTTCACACACATCCTGCCCTCRTCTCCCTCCACCAGGTCAATGTGACGCAGCTCCTCCATGTAACAGGCGTTGGTGCCGGTGCCTGAACACACAACATGTGTGTTACATTTATAACACACAAAATAGAAATGCAGTGCATTTTTATTTGCAACACTTGTTTTAATTTCTGTCTAAACTGATGACACCTTTCGTTTAATCATGCGTCATGTTTGCTACCACACAAATCCACAAGAGAGAGCTGCATGTTAACTAAATGTATCCAACAAAAGAAAAATAAAGAATTTTGAATTATCTTACTGAATCAGTTTCTATCTAAGCTGCAACAAATGGGTCCTGATTATTGTATATTTTAATAAGTTGTTATTCAAAGAACTGCCAGGCACTGGCTGCAGAGACTGCTGTTATTTTAATGTACTTACCAATGATGAGTCCTACTTCACAGTACTGGTCATCAAATCCACAGGTCATCATGGTCGCCACAGTGTCATTAACCATAGCTAATACCTCTACATCCAGACCCTGCACAGTTCACAGAGATACACACCAGGGAGCACGTTATTATAAGGGGATGGTTCTGTCAGCGACTCAGCGTCAGATTGTATTTGAAAAATCAGGCAGCAACCTTTTATATAATGTTAACATGTAACTAAATCTGTCCTTAATAACAAGTGCAAGACGTTAAACGTGACCCGCCAAGGAAAAATAAAACTGTAMAGCAGATGACCAGTATCTAAAAGTAACATCTGTAACAAACAGAAAAAAAACAACCTCTGATGAAGGCCATTTGTCTGAAACATTTAAATACATTTGATTTTGTTCCTAAAAATATTGTTGACTAGAGAACGCTCTAGTTTTGGACATTTTTACTTTGGACAATGCTCGCCTTATTTCTGTGCCACAAACAGTAAACTGGGAGACGTAACTCTGAGGAAACAAAAACTAAAAGACCTGACAGAACCTGAGAGCTGCATCCTCCTTCAGCTGATCCTCTGCTGCATGAAGTCTGCAGCTAATAGTTTTTTTTTTTAAATCACTGAGTCTGGTGAAATTGAAATAAAAAAGAATAAAGAAAACAAATGCTTGTCAGATTGTTGCATCTATAAAGTATTTTAAATGTGTTTAAACTGTATTTGCAATGTTGCATGATTGCTTACAACAAACAAAAGACACTATAAAATCTTTTTTGTCAAATATTTGTGTAGTGATAAAACTGAAAATCCACAATGAGGATTGAATTATTAGATTGAGACAAGATTCAACGCAATCTGCTGGCTTCCTTAGATAAATAATGTTCACTAAATGGCATTTCTTAATGTCTGTGAATATGATTTTGTACAGTCCATTGAAATGAATTATAAATAAACTTGATTGAACTGAATTTAAAAATGATTACAAAGTGGTCAATCTTTAAAGAAAACCATCTTTTACATAGAGTTTCTCTCTGACTATATTAAAAATACTGAAGATTACCCATAAAAGACAGGTGTCCTGGATCAGTCAAACAAATAAATACAGTTGTGTAAAGAGTAATGTTTTCAGGCATCATACCTCAGTTCTATCAATAGCTTCTCTGAGGGCCTGGACCACATCCTTTCCTTCAAGGCCTCGGGCCTTGTAGTTCTTCGACCAGCTTATCAAGTTTCCCTACAGAGTAGAAATAATAAGTTGAATGAATCTACCTCTGAAAAGACAGACTCATGCAGACACCGGTTATAAAAACCAGATGAAGAATGCTCTACCTGATCCAAACTGGAYTGTTCGCAGGCAAAAGAGAAAGTGAAGGCTAGGGGATGTCTTTTCTCCAGACTGATGTTCTTTTCATGCAGAAAGTCCTTTAGAGACTCCGACACATGGTCAAATAACTACAGAGGAGACAGAAATAGGAAAAAAAGCAGTGGAGAAAGTTGAAAAACCTCTTTACACGATCTTTAAAAAAGAAAACCATTTCTCACCTCAGCTGCTCTTCCAGCGTGCAGCTCCTTTGGTATTGGATAGACCTTTTCCTCCATCTCCACTTCTCCTTTCCTAACCCCAACACCCTCTCTAACTTTAACTTGGAGCACCTTAAACTTGGAGCCGCCAAGATCCAGAGCCAGGAACTGACCTTTCTCTGCAGGAGAGTGGAGCAGAAAGAACAGAGCCAGGATTCTTTAGAAGTTATATTAGCAATATGAGTTTTGAATTATTGCTCATAATAACCTGATCCATCAGGAGTGGAGCAGACGTGCGTTGGCAGCATTTTTACGGCTGCAGCTGCGTTGCTTTCTGATGAAAGCCCCTTCTTCATTTCAGCCTGAAAACGTGCCGAGATGTCACCCAACTGGTCATCATGGAGACGCAACGCGTGAAGAAATCTGTCCACCTTCACAACAAGTTGGGGAAAGTAAACTGAGTAAGAGAGAAGAGAGCTACTGATAGTGTATATATATATATGACTAAATATGAAAAAGTCTACATACATATATCCAACAAATTCAAAAATCACAGCTGTTTAAGGGGATTTTTGATCTAATTTGATTTCCTTAAAAAGTTAAATAGGTACAACTAATTATGAAGCTTGTTTAAACAGGCCAGATAGAGTTTGTGCTCCTTGTTTTCTCACATCATGTCCTCTTTTTAAAGTTACATTAAATCATAAAGATATTCAGATTGTAACCAAAACAAAAATCAAATCAAAGTATTAAAGGTTAAAGTTTTTGTGGTTATCTTGAAGAATCTGTAGGTTCACCAACATTATTTAACTGAACGTGTTTAAATAGTTGTGTTTTCCTAATATCAGCTCTGTTGCTGCTTTAATAAGATCCTTAATAAGTTTTATGAACTTTGCATTTCATTACCTATTGGTTGTTACAAGGTCATTAAAACAGGTTAAGTTGACAGTATGATTTCTGCCATTWTTCAATGAATGATTGTGGGTACACCTTTTGAAACGTTTCTCTCATTGGAGTAATACAAACAGTAATATATTAACTTTATCTCCACTACTTCTGGGAGTGTCGCACTTTGATCCTTGAGAAAGATTAGTTAAATCAGCTTAGAGATAAGTTGTTAATTATTGTTCAGGAAAAGACAAATTGTGATTGAGATTGATTGCAAAATTATTGATTTAATTAAAATCAACAAATCAGGTAGGACTGTAAAAAGATTAATGCTTTAATGTAATTCATGTTTTGCTGAACTGAATCAGATAAAAGGTTTAATTACATTTTTACTTCTGTTTATTTGCATTTACGGTAAATGTGAAACCCCAAAAAGGTAGAAATACGTGATTTTGCGAAATAAGAGAAGAAAAAATACAACGACATGAATCTTTGAACTTGATACAAGAGAAAAACAAGGCAATAGTTTTTTTTTTGTTTCATTTAAAAATAAAGACATTAAAGTGGCTGCATTAACTTTTTCCAGGTATAATAAAGTGAACAATCTTTACTTTTACAACATTGCAACAACCATGTTAGTTATTTACCACTTGTTGCACACAGAGCACATTAAAACGTACTTTAAACACTCATGTCTTGTTCTTACCTTCTTCGTGGGATCCTCCTGGARTTTGGAGAATAAGTAGGAAACTAGATGAACTGCAAACATGGTGATTTACTAAACAGACCAGAACAGTTGGTCTGTGTAAAACTGTACTGCTCAGTGTTAGAACACACTTTGCTAAAATAACAAGAAACGAAAAAAAAAAACAACACTTTTGCTTTCTGTCACTGTCTGTAAGGCCTTCCTCTTCTTACCAAGTTCACTGATCAACCTCTGAGCAGCTCAATGATTAACAGGCCAAGCCCTTCTTTTCATCCCAGCCTCTGAGGTTTCACACTTCTAAAGTGACTTATAGAGCACATAAATGCAAATTAAGGATTTCTGGTATGAAGTATTTTTTTCTATTTGGGTTATTTTGAAAATAAATAAAATTCTTGATCAAAAGTATTGATTATCAAACCATACCACCTGCTTTTTTGCAATTCAAAGAATGAAATCAAAACCAAGAATAAAAATCCAGACAGGTAAAATGTTTTATTATCAAATAWTACAAATTTAAATGTTCAGAAAAGAAAATCTAATAAATTTATTCAGCTATGGACACCAACAGAAATGGTTCATCCTGTGTTTATGGTTCAGTCAGTTTTCTGAAGAGTCCCCTGCTTGAACTGAGTGAAATAAAAATAAAAAATCAAATGCATTTTAAAAGTTTCTTGCCTCTAAAACAGCCTTCATGCCTCTGCTGAAAGACTCCTGTCAGACTCATCGAAGTGAAGTCAAGCAGTTTGTTGGCAGCAAATTTTCCTTAAACAGGCACAAAAACTTTCCACAGCAATTCTGTTCACAAAAACAAGAATCACTTTCCAGATGTCAGATTTTCCAGAAAGAAAACAAAGGGATCAGTAACCTGTGCTACAAGTGTTTTCTAGCCATGTTTTCTTTGTCTGTTTGGTTTGTAAGCTAAAAAAAAAATCAGAGGAAGTGACTGTTAAATTGTGTAAAGGTTTAAATAATTCAGTTTTCTTAGTTCACAATCCAGACTAATTGTCCAGAATCAAACATGTGTCCATGATGTGATGCTGAGTTGACAGTCCATCTTCTTTTACCAGCATCCAATGATACAATACTGATGAGCTGCTGCTTCAGCGCTCCCATGTGTTACTGATGTCCATTCAAATAGATGATGATGATGGAGGCCAACAAGAATATGTTTTGACATTTATTTCTTCGTTTTCTACTCGTCGATCTTATTTTGTTCCGCGTGGAACGCACTCTGACCGGCTTTCTGCTTTTGGCTCTGAGACCATTCCCTCTGCAGCTGTTTGAGCAGATCTGGAGTCAACAGCCCATCTCTGATCAGTCGACTGGTCAGAGAGCTGCTTATGCTGTCCTTGGAGCCTCTCTGACCTCTGCTTCTGGTCATTTCAGTTTTGCTGGCAGCTCCACGAGCACTCTCTGCTGGGTCACCAGTGCTGCTCAGTGTCTGCAGAAGGTCAGGGATGACTGGGTCACTGGTTCTGATCAGACGGGTAATATTTTGGACACCCTGTTGAATGGCATCATCAAGTTCCCGCTGGATATCTCGGATGGAGGCTGTATCTGGGAACATATCCAAGAAACGGAAGCTACGGAGACACAGACAACAATAAAATGGATTACATCGGCTAGCTTATAAACAAGTTTTATTAAATGAATACAGAATAAACGACTACTAGTGACGGGTAGTTTGAAGCTGAAGCTCCGGTGCACACATAAAAAGAAAAAATGTTTCACAGGCACTGGGTCGGACCTTGATTTGGCAAAAGTCACGTGATGATGACGTCACTGCTTTGGTGCCTGATTTAGAGGTTTATGAGGAAGTGAATCATCGGCTGGATTCATGCAGTTTTGGTGGCAAATTTGCGCAAAATATTAAAAAAAACAGCGAAAGACTTACAGCGAGGAGAGCTTTGTGTTTAATTGACTGATAAACAATAAAGACTATATGTTCATAAGACACAATGTGATCTTACAGTAAACAATAATGTCAGAGTAACAGGGGCATCATAGCATGGCACACTTTTATAGTATTTTTTAAATAAAAATTAACCATAAACGACCACAAATTTATTCTTTCACACACAAAAATAAATGTTCAAAGCAGCACAATGACAACCTGACAGAAATGTCTCATACAACAGCTGTCAACTCCATCATGATGAAGTGGCTCATTTTGTGTTGTTACAAGCAGCACTTCATACTGTTGGCCACAAGATGGCGTCAAAGAAGAAAGTGTTGGAAAGCTTTGAGGAATGAAGTCTTTATCCGGGTTCACTAGTGCTGTACCAAACGATTATTTTCTAATCGATTAATCTAAAGATTATTTTTTAGATTAATCGATTATTCTAACAACATATCTATAAGTTATTCTGATGTGAGTGCACTGGAAATTTAAAATGTTTTCATCAAATTAACAAGAACAGTTCTTTAATATTGTAATATTTTCT